GGAAACCCACTGGGTGACCTTGGGCAAGTCACGCTCTCTCAGCCTCTGAGAGAGACAAAGGCAACCTCCCGCTCTGAACAATCTTGCCCACCCCCAAATAACGTGATTTGGGTCTCCATAAATCGGAAACTTCATCCAAACTGCAGAAATAACCCAAGTTGACACCACTTTAACCGCCATGGCTTCTGGGAATTGTAGTTTTGTTGAGGGGCAGAGCTCTCTGACAGAGGAGGACTAAATAGCTCACAAAACTACAAATCCCAGATTTGCATAGCATTCTGCTTTGGGCCAAAGCCTTTGGCAGTTAAAGCGGTCTCAAACCGCATTGTTTGTGCAGTGCTGAGGCAGCCAAACCTGTCTCAAATTTCGCGAGATCTCCAAGCTTTGCGATGGCAGATCTCGCGGGAATCCTGAAAGGCCGGGTCTCTGTTCAGACCACGCCAAGCAAATCCGGTTTGGGAGCATTTCTTCCTTTTTTGTATCCATATGATTTTATTTCCCTCAGTATCCCCTTGAGATAGAGATCTTCCTCCTCCTCCTCCTCCTCCTCCTTTCAGGACCATTTGCTGTACTGGGTAAGGATCAGGTGGGTGGTTTCATACCAAATATATTAATTCTTTTGGTCTCTATTTGAACCACACCTCTGTAAGTATAAACCAGGGGTAGGCAACCTTTCCCCTTTAAGGGCCGAGGGACTTCAGCTCCCAGAAGCCTCAGCCATGTTGGCCAATAGTCCCATGTTGGCCAATAGCTCCTGGGATTCTGGGAGCTGAAGTCCCTCGGCCCTTAAAGGGGAAAGGTTGCCTACCCCTGGTATAAACGGTGGCTCTTTCCCCTTCTTAATTTGGGTTTGGGGTTCCCTTTCCCTCATATTTTGTATGCGATATAGGATGCCAGTGTATTTGGGATAGAAAAACGTGGCTCCTTAGATCTTGGATCTTGGTTTTAAGACCTGGGTGAAACTACTATTTTACTTAAGTGTTGTAACTGGACTGTGTAAAAAGGAATTTAGGTCCAGAACACACTGCAGCAATCAATGATCCAGTCTGGGACCACTTTAACTGCTCTGGCTCAATGCTAGGGAATTTGGGGAACTGTAGGTTTGTGAGACATTCAGGGCCTTTACAGACTGCCATAAATAATGCAGCTCGAGGCCACTTTAACTGTCCTGGCTCAGTGCTAAGGAATCAAGGAAATTGTATTTTTTCCTGAGACATTAAGCCTTCTCTGTCAGAGAGCTCTGGTGCCACAGTAAACTACAGTTCCCATGATTCCTTAGCACTGAGCCAGGACAGTTAAAGTGGCCTCGAGCTGTATTATTTATGGCAGTCTGTAAAGGCCCTAAATGTCTCACAAAACTACAGTTCCCCAAATTCCCTAGCACTGAGCCAGAGCAGTTAAAGTGGTCCCAGACTGGATCATTTCTGCAGTGTGTTTTGGACTTCAATGTCTCACAAAAACTGCAGTTCTCACAATTCCCTAGCATTGAGCCAGTGCAGTTAAAGCAGTCTCAAACTGGATTATTTCTGCAATGTGTTTTGTACCTATGTCCCAGAATGTTGGAAAAGCGTTTAAATAGTTTGGGAAGGAAGCTCTTAGTTTAGGCAAGGATTGGAATGAATTAGGCAATGGCAGTATTGTATTGTTTTTGTAACTACATGAGCTACTAGTAGTTGCTGAGATTGGGATAAATGTTAAGTTAGGTGTGACGTTCATATGGTGTGGTGTAAGCCTGTACACATCCTTTGTGAACATTGCACATGACTATTTTCTTGGCTGTGTCTGGAAGATGATGGGCAAACTGATAAAGGTCTCTTTAGGCTGTTTCAGGGAACAGACTTGAAATTCATGAACTCTCCTAAAAGTTCCTTACTTATCAATACATAAAATCAGATAGAGCAATTCAGTCCCATATTTGGGAGCCAGTGTGGTATAATGGTTTAAGTGTTGGACTGCAACTCTAAAGGTCAGGGTTCAATTCCCCACTAAGCCATGAAGCCCACTGGGTGATCTTGGGCAAGTCACATACTCTCAGCCTCAGGGGAACGCAGTGGCAAACCTTCTCTGAGCAAATCTTGCCAAGAAAACCCTATTATTGGTTGGCCTTAGGGTTGCCATAAATCAGGAACAACTTGAAGGCACACAACACACACATGCTTTGTAAAAATATTGTATTGATTAAATTGTTGTTGTGTGCCTTCCAGTCATTTCCAACTTACAATGACTCTAAGGTGATCCTTTCACAACATGGCCAAGCAGGGATTTGAACCCTGGTCTCTGCTACACCACACTCTGGATAAAGCATAGGTAAAACTTGTGTGCATCTCTTCGTGCAAACTTAATTCCTTTTTTTTTTTTTCTTTCTTTCTTTCTGCCTACAGATTGAATCAGACATTTCCTCTGTGAGTCCTGGAATGGGTGGGCTCCTTAGAACCAGGAAAATGCTATTTCCTAGTTTGGCAGTTTGGGTTGTTCGGTGTCAAAAACAGGAACAATGCTGCAGGTTTTACTGTAGTCGTCATGCAAAACAAAACCGTGTCTCCCAACATTTTCAGTCAATGAATCTACGAGACGAAAGCATGACATTACAAGAGAGCAAACCTGGGGAAATGACATGTAAAAGTCAGAGACTGATGTTACTAGCAGGCCTGATTTTCCCTGCCAGCCCTGGTTGCTACCATTATATGCCGTACACTGTCCGAGCAATGGAGAAGCTTATCAAGGTGATAGACCAAGAAATGCAAGCCATAGGTGGCCAGAAAATGAACATGCCTACATTGTGTTCAGCAGAGCTCTGGAGAGCCAGTAGAAGGTGGGAACTGATGGGCAAAGAACTTTTACGACTGGCAGACAGGAACGGCCAAGAATATTGCCTAGGGCCTACCCACGAAGAGGCTATCACGGATCTTATAGCTTCTCAAGGCTGCCTGTCCTACAAACAGCTTCCTCTCTTGTTGTATCAGGTAACGAGAAAGTTTCGGGATGAGCCAAAACCGCGTTTTGGATTGCTGCGGGGCCGGGAGTTCTATATGAAGGATATGTACACCTTTGATGCCTCCAAAGAGTCTGCCCTCCAGACTTATGACCTCGTGTGTAATGCTTATTCCAACATATTCAGCAACTTGGGCCTTCAGTTTGTGAAAGTCCAAGCTGCTACGGGAAGCATTGGAGGAACAATGTCTCATGAATTCCAGCTCCCTGCTGAAGTTGGTGAGGACCGACTGATGATGTGTACAAACTGTGATTTTTCAGCCAATGTGGAAACTGTAAACCCCAATGAAATGAACTGCCCACTTTGCAAAGGAAAACTTGTTGAAAGCAAAGGAATTGAGGTTGGCCATACCTTTTTCTTGGGCACCAAATACTCTTCTGTTTTTAATGCTACTGTCCACACTGCTCAGAACAAACCTGTTGCAGCTGAAATGGGCTGCTATGGGTTGGGTGTGTCTCGGATCCTTGCAGCCTCCATCGAGGTGCTTTCTACAGAGGATGTTATTCGTTGGCCAAAACTCATTGCACCTTATCAGGTCTGCCTTATTCCCCCAAAGAGAGGCAGCAAAGAGGAGAAAGGAGCAATACTCTTGGAGGATCTGTGTAATTTCATTTCTGAAGCCATCCCTCAGCTTAAAGATGAGGTGGTGCTAGATGATCGGACTCAGCTCACAATTGGGAAAAGGTTAAAAGATGCTAACAAACTTGGATATCCCTACGTTATAATAGGTGGTAAGAAGGTTTTTGATGAACCTTCTTTGTTCGAAGTACATAATCAAAACATTGGTGAAATATTATTCCTTTCCAGAGACGGCATTATTGACTTGCTAAGTAAAGTGCAAACATTGTAAATACTAGGTATATGGCTTTAGAATACTGAAGTAGTAACATTTTCCTTTGTCACGTTAAACACAAGATCATGGATTTTTTTATTGTTTTGGTTTGTATTTTGTACCCCAAGTCGTTGAAATTAAATACAGTACAGTGCTGCCTTCCATCCCAAAGCCTCATTTGCATGGGCTTTCTCATTGACCTCATTATCAAGGGGCACCTCCATCAGCCCAAGATGGATGTTCTACATGGAGGCTACCTGCCTTTGAAATCACCAAAGCAGCTTTGGTTTACACATTGCAATAAGTGTCCTATCAGACTGTTCTGGGAAAGAGCAGGATGAAGTTGAATGTGGTTAAAAGGTTTTTTTTTTAACCAATTTTGAAATAAAGTGCTTATTAGTGTAGCTTTTTTGGTGGAAACATCCCCATGTTTTACTATCCAGCCATCAGTGTCTAATACAAAATTGTAAAGCTGGGCACAAAAAATGAAGGAGCATTTGCTTTCCCCATGTTTCTCTTTGATGTGTTATGCTTTGGGATGAGGGAAAATTTATATAATTAACTGGATTCATCCCATTGGATCAGCTGCTGGGGAAAAATGAAAATACTGAATTCTGGTCATATTTACATTCACTTTTCTCTTACTGGTGGGCCTTAATTAATCAGAAACTTTGTGGAATGATTGAGATGAACATTGGCAAATATTGTGTGACGTTGATGCTTGCAGAAGTTTTATTTTTAAAAAACACCACATGACGTGTTTTTAAGGCGAACATGCCCCACAACTGTATGTTCATTTAAAGCCATTTTCTTTGTTGGGGTGTAGATACAATTTTCTGATAGTATTGAACATGAAACAAATTGCAATCAGCAACATGGAGGGACCTAAGGTAATAGTCCACATACCAATCTTCTGGGTAAGCCACTTAAATTGACTGTTAGTTGGACAACCTGACACAAATTACCAGGAAGTCTATTCTGCTGTTTATTCCCTCTTGGAGATCATGTACTGTAATTGACTTATTTCAGTATTTGAGGATCAGTTTGTGTTATCTGTCTTGTTTTCTTGTTTTCTTTTTTCATTAATGAGTTTTGACTGTGATTAAGAAACTGCATTTTTAAGAACAGAGTCCCATATCTTCTGTTAACTGTCTGGGTGACCTTAGGCAAGCCAATCACTCTTAGCATCAGCTTTTCAAACTGCAATATGGAGAGACATTGACATACCCCACCAGTTTGTTTGGAAGGATTACAGCAAGATAATGGCTTTGTTTAAATGTATTATTTAAGCAGTGTTATATGAACAAGACTCTTGTATTAGTCTCTCCTCCCTTGGTGTGGCCATGAAGAGGAGAACTGGAAGCCTCTGCTTCCATTTATAGTTGATCTTTCTGAATTTGGACATAAAATCCATGGTTACTCATAACTATGGTTTAGAAAAACAAGTAAACATCAAATAATTGTTTATTATCTTGGTTTGTTTACCTAAGCCATAGTTAAGATTAATCACAACTTCAGACTAATAATAAACTCTTGCTAACAGAAAATAGAAGCAAAATTTTATTTCTTCTCCACAGCTTTGTTAAGGAGGAGAGGGAGTCAGGAGTGCATGAACCCAAGAGTTGAGCATGTAAAACATAACCATACCCTAGTTTTGTACCAGATCAATTTATATGGTACATTATGGCTTTGGAGCTCTTGATGTGTTATAGATATACTTAATCATGTCAGGTTAATATAAAAATCAGGCTGCTGTTGTATTTGGACAGCATCACTCACTACTGGTGATACTCAAGCTTCTGTGGGTCACTTCCAGATCATGACTTTCTCTGGTGTTTGTAAGGCCTTTGCTGAGAAACCTGATGTGTTGGGTGTGGGTTTGTGCATAGGATTAGCACAAAATCATTTGATTTGCAATCTTGTGACCACTGAATTTAGTGGATCTTATTTGCCAAGTAAATTGGTACAAGATTGCAGAAGACTAATACATAAGTAAAAGCAGCGAGTACAAAAAAAAAAAAAAAGCCAGACCTCTACATCTCCCTAATAGCATGCATTTCTTCTGTAAAGCACTTCTGCTCTCCTGGATTTGGTTGTAGCCATTGGTATGGGGATGGTTGCTAGTATAGAAAAGCATATTTAGGATTATTAGCCTTACTCCCCACTCACCTACCACATCTCCCACCCTTTCTGCTGATGTGATGGAAGAAGAAAATGACTATAGATATAAAGCTTCAAAACTGAAATAGAATGTGTCAGGTTGCTTCCCCTTCTCACCTAGTTTCTGTGATAGAAAAAGAGGAGACACAGACAGAACAGGAACATCCTGCCTCACATGCCTTTCTCTTTTAGGTCCCTTTCATGTATCCATATCCAGTAACGATGGAGAGCTTTTGGGGTTTGCAAGAAAGAAAGGCTCTGCCTCATTTTAACCACATTGGAGGATCTGAAATGTGCAGGAATGGCACAAAAAAGTATTTATGAACTAACTTGAAGCTATTCTTCTGTTCTGTTTCCCTTACTGATTTAAGAAATAATGTAGGATTGAGTTTTTGACTCAAAGTAGTAGGGAACTGGTACTGATATAGGCAGGATGAAGCAGGGGCCAAAGCTTTGGACTACATCTGAGAGCAAAATACTTGGCTGTGAGAGGAGTGTCCATGGAATGCAAATGTGGTGCTGTTCTAGAACCATATTCAACTGTCCCATTCTTTGTGTTCACATTTTTGTGACAAGTCATGTTGTCATGAATGTCTGGAGTGATGACAAACATCTTCATTGTGATGTCTCCTAATCTTTTTTTTTTTTCATCACAGAAAAGGAATGTGAAACCAGTGAACAACTGAATTGCTACTAACAAGTGAGAATGTGTATTTCTTTTTCTGAATTATTTATTGTGTTTCTAGGGTTAAGTTCAGTTTTCTTCAAGTTCAGGTCTAGTTCCTTTATCTACAAATATTGCAGTGTAGTTAATGCTAAGCAAGACACTTTTACACATTAAACAGCATATCGTCAGCACCTACAACATGGTGATCTTCAGATGTCTTGGACTACAGTTACTGTCAGAGTGGCCAGCATGCTTCAGGATCAAGGATCATAGAAGTTGTAGCCCAAAAATATCTGGATGATACTATGTTGCAAAAGGCTGAGATAGGCTATCTGATGTGTT